GTGGAATTTGTTTTTCTCACAAAGCTGCACAGTAGCAGAGGAGGGGCGAGCAAACACCGCAGTTATGGTGACCACAACAAATGGGATCTTCTGCTTTTCTGGGAATTGATATTTGAGAAATTAACAGGCACAGGAACAGTTAAAGGAACAGAGGTGTTTCTACCATTTTTTTAATGGGCTCAGTCTTTTAAGATTGATTAACATTTAAGCATTAATAAAACAATGATTAACGTTTTTTACATTCTAAAAACTGTGTGCCCTCTTGCACATCTATAGATGATAAAATACTCCTACTTCGATTACAGGGCTTGGTTCCCTCACAAACAAGAAGTTTTACACATGAACAGGACAAATCTAACCTTTTAACAGCTGAGCAGCTGAAGGAAGCCAATCCGGTTGTTCAGTCTGACGTCACTAGCCGTGTCTGGGTCTAAACTCCGCTGCAGGTCCATATATCAAACGATCACTGTGGCATTACTGAGAGTTGAAAAACTGTCTAAAGTTTTTCATCTTTAATAAAATGATCAGCGTTCTGCTCTACCAGGTGTAACAATTGAGTTTAGCATCCAGGCATCCATGAAAACGGAATTTATGACATTTAACGGAGTTAGAAGTTAGCAGGGAGTTAGCTCGCTAGCTTCTATCTAAATACAATATAGCATGTCCTGACTGCGGGGTTTTGGAAACAAATTAAAACGTACAGCTCTGTTATCACTTCCAGCATAAATGAAGACAGAAAACTAAACAGCAGTGACGTTTGTAGGGTTACTGAAGTTGGGCTAGCTGTTATATAATGATGTGCTGCGTGACCGCTAGCGACACAGCTACGTTAGCATAATATAAACAAGCTAACTTTTTTTTCCACTCGATAAAAGTTACCGTGAGTGTTCTCGGTGGTCAGGAACAAATGTAATCGCATGGCAGGATGCTGTAAAAGGACCAAACTTCAGCCAGGAGAACAACTGAGATAATCCATCCACAATACGAGGTTAGTCATTCATATACTGCTGCATGGGCTGGGCTGTAGTTACATCCTAAGGTTTTAAAAACTGAGCTTAAATAAATGATTAGCGGTAATAAAAGCCGAGGGAGGTCAACAGGGATCACTGACTGTTTTAGGAGCTTTTTGAGATCAAATAGAAGAAAATACATAACATTAAACATGTTAACAACACAAAAGCCATATTAAACGCAGACTACTTTAGACCCGGAAGTAGGATTCGTCGCGTCATCACTGAACAACCGGATCACGTAAGCTAAAGTGACAGCCACGCCTTTAAAAACCAATATTAAGTGGAGTTTGAATGGTCTCCTGTTAACCACAAAGACAATGTGGTTAAGAAACAAACACCTGAAACTATATAAAACACGTAGACGCTTTTGTTCTGTCATTAAACCCTTTGTTAGACTGCATCGGGGAATAAAAGAAGATAAAGACACTAGGCAGCTTGTTACAGTTAACTGTCACTACATACAAAAAGCTGTTCACTCTTTAATTCACTTCAGTTTGTTTCTGTGTTATTTTTAATCTTCATTAACTATGTTGTACATGTATGTGTGTCAGAGGCAAGATTCTGGAAAGTCAGTACAGGTTTTACAATAAAAACAGAACTTTCTAAAAGCAGCTGACTCACAGTGTCGTGGACATCCACAATAGATATTTGTCTATCAAAGCCTCATAAGGCAAGTTTTGATTCAAATGTTTACCAAACTAACAAACACTAAAATAAGGATATTTCCTCTAAATTAGTTTTCGAAGGTCACAAAATCCTTTCAGTTTTAATTTTTCAAAATTCCTAAACTAAAATGTTTTATATGTTTTGTAGTTAACTATAATAACCTTGCTGCAGGTCACATTGCAAAGACAGAAAATGACATACATGATGTTACATAAAGACAGGCAAAAATAGAAAGCCGACTCCTTCACTTAATGTACTTAATGTACTTAAAACAGTGGGTAGACAGTCGAATACGTTGCCCTCCATGACTCTATATACTAAACCTCCACAGACCTTCTTTACTTCCCTCGTTAGCGATATCTTAATAGACCTGGAGCACTGCAGGTAGACTGTCCATCATATTGCACCATGCAAAGTGACTGCATGCTCATTTTCTGATACCAAGCTTCTGAAACTCTCTGGGCTGGCCTATATACATTTTTTGCTGAACTTCCAGCCATTCGTTGTGAATGTATGAGCCTTACATGAAAGTCTATGGCTTCTCAAATGAGTTAAAGAACATGCTGCCTCAGGAGCTTAACTGTATCAACTGCAAGCAGACAATGTGCATTGTAGTGGATTTAGAATCCATATTTTGCCACTGCATTTCTGTGTGCACCAACTGCATGTTTTACTCCAGGCTGTAACTCTGCAGACCACTGCAAATCTTCTCTGTCAGTCATGCTGCGTCTAAACTATCAGCGTTTTGAAAATGTAAAAAACTCTCCATTATAATAATAATAATAAGTTTTTTTCTTTGTGTCATTGCTTCATCAACCTGACTTTTCAACTTCACTGAAAGAAGATGTCCAGTTGTGTGTCTGCTATTTGAAAAAAGATAGCGATAGCATCCAGATCACATGGACAGTGTTGTGCCAATAAGTGATTTCAGGTATTTGCTGAAAAAATGATTGCCTGTGTTTAAACTGGCCTATAATCTATAAAACATATGTCAAACATACCTTATAAATGATATTAAGTGCTACCTTCTAGACCTGCCCCTGCACAGGTAGTTTATACCTATTATACACTTTTAAATAAACACTTTTATTAACACTAGCTCTGTGAAAATGGCTCCAAAAACATTTCATACTGAGTGACATGGGTTTCTTTGGGTTTGTGGGGACTTCATCCACATAAGTAAATGTTGCAAGGACAGGATATAAGTGTGGAACATGAAAAAGATTAAAGATCATCTCCTGCTAAATGTTAAATAACTAAAATAATCCTCTTGTTATTAAAAAAAAAAACCCTTCCCTTTTCCTGATAGTTGTCTGTCCCTGACAAACCCTGGATTATTTTCTTAATAAAAGATTTGATTTAATCTACTCTGATTCTTTAAATCTAAGACGTGCTCAGTTCAATCAATAAATTAAAAATTCCCTAAATGAGCTGCACTTATCTGCACTTTTTTCATACCAGTGTAACTTCACTGGATTTCTCCACAACATCTTACAGACAATACATTTATTTTCCAGACGTCAAAAAGGTGAGAAAAACTTTGTCACATGGATAAAAATAAATAAATTCTTCCTGCTGGTTTGGACAGTGTGTGTGTGTGTGTGAGTGTGTGTGTGTGTTTTGTGAGTGGGAGACTAAGTGTTTTTAAAAGAGATTATTTGGGTGGGGTGCAGAAGATTGTATTACACAATGTAACTCTGCCCTGAGGGGGTCTGACATGGTTTTGTCTGCTTTCCTTCTCTCTTCCCACTTCCTGATCTATATTCTGCTCTTTTCCACGCAGTAAAAAGAGAGGCCATCCTCTCACATAATGTGTTCAGTGTGTCTAGATGACAATAGCTTCTTTGCTATAGCATGTGTATGCGGGCACCGCAGAGGTAATCGCTGAGGACAGTGAGAGGGAGTTCCCACAGTTTCGCCCTGAGCCACGTTGTGTCACGAGACAAGCTCCACCTGCATATTTGCACTCCTGCACTTTAAAAACCCTCATGAGACACAAACAGGCATACTACACGGCAAAGTGAAATGATCAGAAGGTAAACAGTGAAATCAAACAGCTGGAGGATGACAAACTTGACATGTTAAGTTTATTGTTTGTTTTTCTTTTTCTTTTTCAGCATGCCTGCAGTAGGGCGTCCTGAGGAGGATTAAATCCTGCTGTGGCACATGCATACAGAAACATGAAGCCCAAACATCAACTTTATGCTGAGCATAAACGGCATTTAAATTCACATGAAACATATCCGACACGTCCTTCATTTCCTTTCCTTTTCGCCTTTCCTAAAAATCTACAGGTTCAAAAGAAGTACGGTGATTAGATTTCTTAGAGCAACCTGTTTGTTCAAAAACGTTCTCCAATAACAGCGTAGACGGTGGAAAGAAGACAAGGAAAGTGTGATGGACTGCTAAAAATATGTCACAGAAGTGGTCATAAACCGGCTCTGGCTTTACTCTTTGCACAGTAAGCTGAGAGCTTGTGATCTGAGCCCTCTTGAAGAATGCAAATTTGTAGTTAAATTACTGAGAAGTGGGACTGTCTTCTTTTCAGCTGAATCCAAATACACAACAAGGCAACTTTGGCGTGGCGCAGCATGGAAACATACCCTTGTCAGACACATAAAGGAGGGGGCTAATGAAGTGTGAGATGTCACAGTTTTTGTAAATTGAGGCCTCATAACAAGGTCCAGGCTATCAGACAAACTCACAGTGTAACATATAGGATATCATTCAAACATACTGCTATTATTTTCATTAGTAGTCTTATTGATTAGCAGTGCATTGATATTTGGCATTATGTAAACATCTTAAAGTTTCACTACTAACTTCTTCATGCACTAAAGCTTCCAATACAATCACTGTGTACTGTATCAAATGTATATAAACACATACAATGTAATGCATTAACAGATTATGTAATAAAACATCTCAACACAGCCATGCGTAATACTCATTCTCATCTCTTTCACACTCACACACTTTCACTCTTCACAGAAAAGCTTAAACGTTTAGCTCAATTGCTACTAAGTCACTCCTCTCTAGTTTGGCTAACAAATATGTACCGTAATGATTACAATAGAACAGGTTAAAAAATCTCTATAAAGCTTTTAAAATACACAATGTGCAATATAAGATGAGAATGCTATTGTTGGCTAAGGCCACAGAGAATTTGGTATAAAATACATTAATTTCTGTTGCTAAAGATATAAATAACACATCTAAAAGGCTATTTAAAAAAAAATCTAACAAGTCTTTGACATATACCAAATTATCACATGTGACCCTAGAGCAGGGTCAAATCCAAATACTGCCCCCCTGGCTTGGTCATGAGAGCAGGTAGTGACATAAGAGGAGCCTCACTTGAGCTGCACTGACCAATCAGACTGCTGCTCAGGAGGGAAACAGACTCTGCAGGATTCTGCGGAGAGAAGAAGAACAAGGGTGAGGAAAGAGTTTTAGCCCCCAACAACAACAAAAAAAAGCACCTGCACCAGACATTACCCATCACCTTCTCAATCACCTAAAGCTGTTATTACCCATCTATTACACTACCACATTGCGACAGCACCATCTGACCGTTGACTAAGCCCCGCCCCCTTAGGTATTGTTGCAATTGTTCTGTAAAGTAATTTTACTCTTCAGCAGGCCAGTTTCGCAGCAGACATTTTGGCGTGAAGCAGCAGGTAATCACAAATGTCTGAGAAAGGACGTTAATAAATATATCTATAAGATTACAGTTAACCTGGTTCTGCCAGAAGATTCTTCCTGCAAAAAGGGAGTTTCTCCTTCTCACTGTTGCCAAGCGCTTGCCCTTAGGTGTGTTGTTGCAGTTCCCTTCTGTTATTGTAGGGTCTTTACCGTTTCAATTTTATTCGTTTCTGTGTTCTTTTTAGTGTTTCTAATTATCATTTGTCAGGTGGAAAATTCTAGAAGCTCAGAACAAGCGTTACAATAAAAACACATGACTCACAGCCAAGTGGATATGGCAGTCTCACTAAACATCTGTGTCATTACCTCCTCAGGATTAATGCATTCAAAAAGAAATTGAGCATAAAGTACAAAATGCTATTTTAGTTAGTTTTAGGGGGAGTTTTGAGAGGGGGGGAGGTAAGTTGTTTTTTTTTTAAATTTAGGTTAACTATATACATTTTCATACCTAGTTTTATGTACCTATAATATCCTTGTATTGATGTATGAAACATTAAAAAAATGTATCTTTAATACTGCAATGTAACAGTAAAAATGAGGACTTATTACTGGTTATCTGGGTAAGAGAACAATTCAAACTTTAAAGCAGCTACTTTCACTTTCACAATATTTTTATGTTGTTCTGTGATGAAAATGTCACCACTGAGGAGTTTCTTGCGCCCGCTATTTGACTTTCACGCTGTCTCGACATGCAGAAAAAGGACCATGCCTGTACAGTCAAAGGGGAGAGGGTTCAGTGGACGGTCAGTCGGCTATGTGGTGCTCAGTGTTTTCATTAAAGGCTTCACGAGCGGACAGAAAAAAGGTTAAACAAACGCCATGTGAAAACCCATGAAATACCTAAAAACCAAGAGATTTCCTCCAATTATTTAACCTAGTCAAAAGGAAATACCTGAAAATTCCCCATTAATGTGGAAAATGGTGCCCTGTAAGCCCTGGTGACCAGTAAAACCACAGCTACAACACCTTCTCTAAATTAAATCCCCCCGACTGATCCCTCAGCCAATCCTTACCTGCCACCTGCCTCAGACACCTTAAATACACACCCATTCTTTGGGCTGCGTAAGCAATGTCCTGGTCGGGTCATGAGTGTGCACGGGCCCGTGGGCGTGCATGAAAGCATCCTCGGGAGCATACTGTGGCATGAGGAAGGGGGAGGAATGATAGAGATGGGGGCTGAGACACATGTAGCCATAGACACTAATCTAAAGGCCTTTAAAATACAGAAAACAAAACCCAGTCTGTCTCAATATATTGCTTAAAGTAGTCCTTATCATGTCATAATTTATCTTCAGATTCTTCGTACTCTTTCAGGTTTAAATAAGATCTGAGATTCTCCAGTTCAAGTTGAAGCAAGCAGCAATCCGTGTGTGACAGAACAGGGAGAGGAGACAGGATAAACTAGTTTGATAGCCTCTGGGCAAACACAGTGGATGCCTGACAATACACACCCATAATACGAGGAGATTTGAATACAACACTTTGGATCCTACAGTGAGGTATGAGAGCTCTGAAGGCACAGAAAATCTCCATTATAGGAACTTCATTAATAAAATGCTAAGTGCACGGTGCATTTGAAGGACGCCACCTCTTACCTGGTAACCCTGCACTGCATTTATGAGCTCTTTGACTCCGTTGCTGTTGTAGGTCAGACCGGGCATACGCACCAGGCCTCCCGGCGAGGCAATGGAGGAGGGGGAGGGGAAGAAACCTAAGGTGTTAGGTGAGCCAGGTGGACTGGAAAAGAAAAAAAAAAGGAAAACAACAAGAAGGGAAAAAGGACAGAGACTGTTATCCTAAGTACAAAACCAGCATAAACATGTATCTTCTCAGAAAACACAACGTATGCAGCAGGATTCAGGAAAAACAAGACTGGGAGTAACTCTGGGTGTTGTCTTTGAGTGAGCTGCTCTCTCAGTCTCTGATGGCTCACCAAAGAGAACCAGAGGTCAATGCTTGTTTACCAAGTACTTTGATAACGCAGACTTCAGTCATTAACTACCCTTGCCCCAGCCTTTCTCCTTGGCAGTATATAATTCAACCAAGTACAAAATGCTCGACCTCTTTTCTTTTTTTCTTTTTTTTAAATGGGAAAAAACCTTTATAGTTATTGCAAGTTTTAGGTGTTTTTAATCACTCACTAATGTACACAACATGTTTCAGTGAAAGTAAAACTATTTTGATTTTGATTGATGCTATGCAGGCGGTTCAAAGAAGAAGATGACTAAGAATGAAGAAGATCAAGCGTGGATAGCAGTTCCACATTTCTTATGCACATCCTGAACTTTTGCAGGGCTTTATGAGAGAAATATAAATATATGAATCACTCAAGCCCAACACTCAGTCTTTAACCTGCCGGCCTTGCAGTACAAAGTGTGCATATCTTTATGAATAAAGCAAGTAAATAAGTGTCCAGCAGCTCTACACAGGCAGCTCCCTAAACCAAATGGACTATTTCCTGTATTTCACAGGGGTATGCCAGGACTGGGGAATCCACCTCTTATGTGCTACATGTGAGAAATGGAAGCTCTGCCTGGATCTGAGAGTTTGTCTGAGAGCAACTTCACCCACCAGTAAACAACCCACAAGTAAACACCACCCGGCAGCCTCGGCTTAGCGTCGGTTGGCTCGTAAATTTCTTTATAGAAATTCAGGAGTGGTTGATTTAATGTGAGAAAGGAAGATTACTTAATGGGAGAAACAACAGTAAGCTCTCACAAAGCATCAAGGATATTTCAGGTAAATGTGTACATACAGTGGGGAAAAAAAGTATTTAGTCAGCCACCGATTGTGCAAGTTCCCCCACCTAAAATGATGACAGAGGTCAGTAATTTGCACCAGAGGTACACGTCAACTGTGAGAGACAGAATGTGAAAAAAAAAAATCCATGAATCCACATGGTAGGATTTGTAAAGAATTTATTCATAAATCAGGGTGGCAAATAAGTATTTGGTCAATAACAAAAATACAACTCAATACTTTGTAACATAACCTTTGTTGGCAATAACAGAGGTCAAACATTTACTATAGGTCTTTACCAGGTTTGCACACACAGTAGCTGGTATTTTGGCCCACTCCTCCATGCAGATCTTCTCGAGAGCAGTGATGCTTTGGGGCTGTCGCCGAGCAACACGGACTTTCAACTCCCGCCACAGATTTTCTATGGGGTTGAGGTCTGGAGACTGGCTAGGCCACTCCAGGACTTTCAAATGCTTCTTACGGAGCCACTCCTTTGTTGCCCGGGCGGTGTGTTTTGGATCATTGTCATGTTGGAAGACCCAGCCTCGTTTCATCTTCAAAGTTCTCACTGATGGAAGGAGGTTTTGGCTCAAAATCTCACGATACATGGCCCCATTCATTCTGTCCTTAACACGGATCAGTCGTCCTGTCCCCTTGGCAGAAAAACAGCCCCATAGCATGATGTTTCCACCCCCATGTTTCACAGTAGGTATGGTGTTCTTGGGATGCAACTCAGTATTCTTCTTCCTCCAAACACGACGAGTTGAGTTTATACCAAAAAGTTCTACTTTGGTTTCATCTGACCACATGACATTCTCCCAATCCTCTGCTGTATCATCCATGTGCTCTCTGGCAAACTTCAGACGGGCCTGGACATGCACTGGCTTCAGCAGCGGAACACGTCTGGCACTGCGGGATTTGATTCCCTGCCGTTGTAGTGTGTTACTGATGGTGACCTTTGTTACTTTGGTCCCAGCTCTCTGCAGGTCATTCACCAGGTCCCCCCGTGTGGTTCTGGGATCTTTGCTCACCGTTCTCATGATCATTTTGACCCCACGGGATGAGATCTTGCGTGGAGCCCCAGATCGGGGGAGATTATCAGTGGTCTTGTATGTCTTCCATTTTCTGATGTTTGCTCCCACAGTTGATTTCTTCACACCAAGCTGCTTGCCTATTGTAGATTCACTCTTCCCAGTCTGGTGCAGGTCTACAATACTTTTCCTGGTGTCCTTCGAAAGCTCTTTGGTCTTGGCCATGGCGGAGTTTGGAGCCTGACTGTTTGAGGCTGTGGACAGGTGTCTTTTATACAGGTGATCAGTTCAAACAGGTGCCATTCATACAGGTAACGAGTGGGGGACAGAAAAGCTTCTTACAGAAGACGTTACAGGTCTGTGAGAGCCAGAGATTTTCCTTGTTTGAGGTGACCAAATACTTATTTTCCACCCTAATTTATGAATAAATTCTTTACAAATCCTACCATGTGAATTCATGGATTTTTTTTTTCACATTCTGTCTCTCACAGTTGAAGTGTACCTCTGGTGCAAATTACTGACCTCTGTCATCATTTTAGGTGGGGGAACTTGCACAATCGGTGGCTGACTAAATACTTTTTTGCCCCACTGTATTTACAGATTTTCAGCTGGAACAAGGTGAATTTCTTTTTGAGTTCACAAGATTTTCAGAAAGCTTGACCTCTGTCAAGGTCACTGAGATTTGAACTCATCTGAGATTTTTAGTAGATATTACTATGGTAACAATTTGAAGCTCCTATGTCGCTTTGTTCTCGAGTTATAGCATTCACAAACTTAGGTGTCCAGGCTGCCCGCCCGCCTTGCAGGATGCCGACAATAGCCCCTCAGGCTTTGAAGGCTGAGAGGTAAAAACTGTGAGAATTCCTGCACACTGTTAAAACAATAACTTTCTGTGACCTTTATGCGAACTAATCAGACAAATCAAAACTTTTCAAACAGATAAAATCAAATAATTTCGGCAATGAAGAGAGTTTTCCCTTTGGACCTTCCACTAACAGACCTCTCACCTATTCACCAATGCAAATATTTAATATTTAAACATTTTTGAAAATATTTTCACAAGCTGAGCCATTTAATCTCTGATTCAATAAATCCCTTCATCTGTAAATACCATTGTTTACCTGGGGTAGTAGGCTGCGTAGTTCATGTATAGCTGAGCTGAGGCGGGGTAGTAGGCATGTCCTGGTGGTAGGGGGCGAGGAGCCAGGACCACCTGCCCAATGGGAGGGTAGAGAGCAGCAGCAGCCTCTGGAGGCAGGACAGGTGGAGCAGGTGTGAAGGAATAAGATGGTGGCGATAAACCTGGCGAGGAGGAGAGGTAAAAGATTTTTAACCAGACGAACAGAGACACGCGTGAACAGAGACATGGTGGAGAAGTCTGCAAGGTCATTGTTTGTTTTTTGGAGAGGTGCTCATGCAAATCTACAAACAATGACCCTCCACAACATCACTCAGCACCTGACACACTTTGAATGTATGCACGTGGCAAACAATGAAAGCGTCAGCGTATTGTACACTACGCTGGACCACCGATGGGCCTGTAACCTGTATGTTTCATTATTTCAGTATTTTATTATCACCTCTGTGTAATTTCGGAGCAGGTAAGATGCTTTTAATTCACTCGACAGTTGTCAGTGTTTAGCAGCATCTGGTTTATACTTTCTCATATGCATTCATGCATAAAGCCTTCCAAGTATTAAATATTAGCAAAACAAGAGCCACAGCGCTGTCAGAGAACAGAGTCACTGTCTAAATGCAGGGGACAGTGCCGCCTGAGCACTTTATCCTCCTTGCATGGTGATTCTGGCTGTTCCTGCAGTCTGTGTGTGCATTTTCAACATTTAATTTCATCTCATCATGGACCTTTTTAAAACCCGCATGTCTAGCCTTGAATCCCTGTGTTGTGTCCCTTTCACTAATGTGAACTATTTCATATTAAACGGCTCATAACCATTAGACGTGTTATAATCCTCTCTTTTTGAAAACTAAGAGTCCACATTTAAGTCGAAGGACTACACACACAGAGATCAATCCACCATCTACGCACCAGCGTTCAGATATGCCCACAGCCTTTACACAGCTCCTGATTGGACAAGCACAGGAGATGCACACACCAGAGGTGTGCCAGGCCATTGAGGCCTAATCCCACAACCACCTCTACTCATCTGATAAGATTAGAGAGATGTAAGCCATTTTTGATGTTTTATGAAGATAGCTGGAATCAAACTGTCTTGCTTACACTTTCCCAACCCTTTCAGATTTTTATGAAATACTTCAGCAGTGTAAGAGAGTGGAATTTATGAGATCGACAAACATGCCACTAAAAACAAACTACAGTATTTTCATCTAAATGTGTGAACACAGGCAACAACTGAAAAAAGGATGGTTACCCCATTAGGTTTATTAGGTCATGCAGATGGGTAATTTAATCACACTAAATTACAAAGAGGTGACACACTCACATACACCAACACAAACTCTCAGACACACAGTTTTCGATCCTCCTGGTTAGACCAGATTTCCTCATCTTCCCACAGTTTGAGATTGGAGAAAAACCCAGCAACCCTGCACAAGGCAGGAGCCCACCTACCCTGCAGTCCCGAAGCAACCCAGCTCCCAGCAGCACTTACGTCTTGACTTACATGGCGGCGGGCTGAGCCCTGTCCCACTCCTGCTCCGGGTGTGTGTGTGTGTATGCGTGTGCGAGAGCGAGCCTCCCATCAGCACGAGGCCCATCTCCTCTGCGCTGCAGGGAAACACCTCCACGTAGCGGCTGTTTGCCCCACGCTGGCTGGACATCACATGCTTGTGAAGCCGCTGCGAAGCTTGGAGCGCTCGCTCAGCTGATGTCATCTGGATGAAGCAGTCACCTGACGGACGACCCTTAAAGCGGAGACGAATCAGAGATTACTCCGCAACACCTGTAAATTTGTGCTAGAAAGCATGTGAGTCAATGGGTGTGTCAGTGTGGGTGCTGCATGTACCTGCTGGTTGAGGACCATGTGCACTCCATGCGGTCTGATATCCTGTGTAAACTCGCCCAGGAAGGTGAGGATGTCCTCTATGCTCGCCGTGTACGGCAGCCCTCTCAGCCGCAGGCAGTCTCTCACTCCACCAGGAGGGGGCAGAAGAGACACCGTGGGCAGCACAGGCATCAGAGGGGCAGGGGCCACAGAGATCAGAGGGGTTGAGGAGTACCTGTTTAGCACCTAAGACACAGTTTCAAATTACATACCCTGCCTAAAGCAAAAACCTACCGAGTACGCAGTGAAGTTTTAGGAAACCCTTTCTCCTCTAGTACTGACAGGTAAAAGTCACTAACTATAACTCAAAAGCAAACATCTCAAGCAGAACAAAGCCAAGTCCAAGCTGTGTTTAAATATGACGCAACGTCAGACAGGAGCTGGCGTGGTGCCAACAGGACACCAGCGTGTTTGCATTTCTGGAGAGGACCAATAAACCTCGCAAGTGTCTCACACACACACACACCACGAAAGGCCTCTGCATAGATATGTAGGTGGACTGTCTGCTTATCAGTCCAGAAAGATAAGAAAATGAATGCCAAAGAGACACAAAGAGCAGTGGAGCACACGAAGAGCGAAAGAAAGTTCAAAAGAGAAAGGAGCAGCTAGAATAACCGTTTGTAGGGAAACATGCACACACAGTCCACCTTGTTTTACTGGTCCCCACCCATGAGCTTCTCTCCTATAATGCCTACAACTGCCTGAGAAGATAAGAAACACACCCTCACGTTGTCACTCTTTGCTGCTGTGGCCAAATAAACAAACAGTTTTTCTCCTCTAAAACCTACAAGTGAGCACACAATCAAGCACATTTCACTCAACCGCACACCGTAAAACAAAGCGAAGAAACACCCCGGCGTACCTGCTGCACCTCTGCTGCCGTACTCTTAAAAAGCTCGATATATCTTTTCCCCAGGATTTCCTTGTGTTTCCTCAAGGCGCACTGAGCATGTTCTTCACAGGCAAACAAAACAAACGCGTCGCCGGTGGGACGTCCATCTGGGTAGCGAACAAACAGGATGCCGTCCTTTCCCCCGCTGACGGGACACGTCTCTTTAAGTTCATCCTCTGGCGAGAAGAAGGCGAGCACCTGCTCGTGCGTGGCGGTGAAAGGGAGGCCTCGCATCCTCACTATGATCTGGTCCTCGCGGGACAGGAACATTGCTACCTCATGAGACGTACCTGACACAGAGAGAATGACACGGGCAAGCCCGTTCAACTAGTGTTAGTTGGCCTCCTTCTTCTTCTGCAATTGATAAGAGTGATGCTAAATCTGACTTTTCAAGCCTCTGTGATTTTGAGTAATCGTCTAAATCTCTCATCTGTATGACGATAAACTTTAGCTTTATGTAATGAGGTCACTTCTGGTTTCTGGGAGGCGTTCATCATGTGAGTAAAATTATTAATATTCAGGTCAAATGACTCAGTGATGAGCTGTGCCTTGTTGACAAACTTATTGCCCTTCATAAAAGGCTGTGTTGCCATTAAATGGTATCACTGAGTCATAACCAACAGCTTTTTGTGCTAATAATAATTTTTCTTTTAAGATTACAAGTGGCATGAAGGAAAAATCCCAATGGACCTGGAGACATTTACAAAGGTCCTGAAACATTTTCAACTCCTAAAAATCATTATTACTAAATACATGAATTCAAGCTCATATAAGAAGTTGCTGAAGTATTAATAAAATAGCACCATAGAAGATCTCAAAGACTTCAAAAGTCCTCTTTTTCAACTCAGTTTCACTATATACACACATAAACCAGGCGGCTGCACTTAAGCTAACAGATATATGAACTTCCCACCTCCTGCTATCTTCAGGAAGTCATCTCCTGTCGCTTTATAAACCTGCCGATAGAGGGGAACGATGTTTAGTGATGGGACAATAATTTGGTGATGTGGCTGATTCTACTGTGTCCAGACGCCTTACCTCAATATATCTATTCCCCATGTGGTGTTTGTGTCTCTGCAACGCCAGCTCTCTGTGTTCCTCGCTCACAAAGCGAACCAGAGCTTCTCCATTCCTCCTCCCTTGAGCATTCAGGCACAATGCAACCCCTCCTCTAAAGAGAAGAGCACAGCATATGAAGGGGGTTATAAAGCCTCTCTGAAAACCTCTGTCAGCAGCAGCTTTCTGGGTGTCATCAGTGATTAAAAAAAGATGATAAACAGTGTAAAAATGTGCGCCTTTAAAGATGTCAGCAACGTACTTGGCGATGTTGAGGCCTCTGAAAAATCGAGCGATATCCTGGTCAGAAGACTGCCACGGCAATCCTCTGGCTCGGATCACCGTGTTGTCGCACACTTTCTCCATTTTACTGCTGCACACACACACACACACAGGTATTATTACAGTGGATTATCAGGGAACAAAAATAACGTGTATCTTTAATAAATGTTACTCACCAAGTGCCGCTCTCGAACTTCTCACTAACTCTCTCGGGGTTCGAAAACGTGTGGCCTGCAACAGCAAAGTGACAGAGTCACCATGATAACACACAAAGTAATCAAGCTGAGACCGTTTTTAAAAGGCAAAGCAAATGGTTAAAGTCTAAATCAGGTAAGACCTTACATTTCTTTCCTTTCTTAATTACCGGTTTGTTAAGTGGCACGCTCAAAAGTAGTACTATGAATCTTGGATCATCCATTTTTGGGGCGGGAAATGATTAAAGGAAATTTCAGTTATCCTTAAAAGAGGTCCTAATTGATTTTCTAGTTTAGTTCACAGCAGGGTTTTACTTAAAGTAACACAGTTTTGGAACTCATTAGTAGTAAATCGATTTACTGATGTGTTTGCTAACATTACTCGGTAATGTACGTGGTACTTACAAAATGGCTCGGATAGCAGTGCCAGGACAACGCTGGACATAACCTGAAGCTGCTGTGTGGCTACTTCTGCAGGCAAAGGGACCGATGGATCCGGTGTGGCAGAGGGGTCCCACATGGTGGGCACATCAACAGGTATACTAAGAGCTGAGGAGGAGGTGGTTAAGGAGCACAAGCAAGAGAGCGACAGTGTTATTAATCATGAATGCATCGTGGTCCAGCAGGATTGGACGTTGGATTTCTTCTTTTTTTCCTCTCTCTCATTTCCTAAGTCCATTTTCAATTTAGTTGGAGTTGTATGCTTTGGGTGGAGCCCACTCTCTCAGCTTTCTTCTACACCTTCTCTGAATCAACCTGGAGTATTAAAAGGCAGGATATCTGCAAGATCGCTACACTGATCATCATGGCCGTAACCAGGCCCTCTTTGGTAACTGAGTTCCATTTAACCAGGAGGTTCATCTGCATTTAGAGTTGCCAGCCCTCTGTCCTATTCAAAAGAAGATCCGGTTGTATATGAGCGGAGTCATTCGCCTGCTCCCAAATAATTTCTGTTGCTGGTTTAATACATTTTTTAAAACTAGGTCTGATCTGTTTTTTCCCAAATCATGACAGAATAGACAGGTGTGTGAAAAAATGAAAAAAGTGAAAACAGAACAGCAATACACTCACGTGTTTTTCTTCCTATACCTGTGTGTGCGTGTGTGTGTGTGTGTGTGTGTGTGTGTGTGTATGGGGTTGGTCCTGTTGGGTAAACACACACTCTTTCACTAAGGGCTTAGTAAGGTGCTGCCACTCTTTCCTTATTTGCATTTCAAAACCTTTATCCCTACAGCCAACTGCTTAATGCGTGTGTTGTGGATTTTTGAGGGTAATGCAATGCACAGTATGAGAAAGAACCAATCAATCGGATCAAATCAATCGAGCAAAAAAAACAAATGTCTGGAAATCCATGACTTAGACGGCGTAAACAGGCAACAGGACATGAAGTGTTAATGTAAACAGGTGACGTGTTAAAAGGATACACTCTGCCATGGTGTGGACATTCAGAGCTTTGAGGTCAGGAGCGGGGAAGTGCTTCTTGAACTCCTTCCGAAGGTCAAAGAAAGAGTAGAAACAGTCTGGGACCAGGATGTTCTGGAGAGGAATACAGTGTGAGTGAAAGGCCCATCAGCAGCTTCTGTTTTTATTGCTGTGAAACTCATGTTTGCACAGGCCACAAGAGCATGCACTGCCTACTTCTTGTATCATTAACACACAGTTTGAAGGCACTCAGGAGAAATTTCATGAGCATCATGTGTGCCTGTCTTTTATGTGCACGAGTGTGCGGTATACGCATGGGCGTGTGTCACCGCAGTGGCTTCTCCTGTAGATCAGCTTTCAGTGTTAACATTAAAGTTCAGCGAGCAGTGCGGTGCTGACACAACACAGCCCTCTGAGAGCGTCGAAGGCTCCCGCAGCAGTGAGTGAGTGAAACATCCGCCCTGGCTGCTAGGCGTGTTCCCCCACCCCGCTCACCTTGCTCGCGGCCTCGGGGTGAATCACTTGGCGGATGTGGAGCTGCCCGTCTGTACACAAACACACCGACGTGCCTGCGCCCGCGCTGTTCACCTCATTTGTCAGTTGCAGATGAAACTGTAAAAACATTTAGAGGTATGGACTTTAATACAGCTGCTTTAACCAGTGCTGTAACTGTAATTAATAATCTATAAATGGCCTATTAATGGCTTTCTGGCTACTTTGAAGACATTACCATGTTTAAAGCTTTATCAACACTCGGTGCTTTGTACACACAGTCTGCTCCAGATCCATTCTCCTGTTCCACGCTCTCCTCCACCACATCCTCCTCCTCTTTTTCTTCTGTCAAGTCTGAGAGGTCAGGCTTTATGAGGAGCTCATTCACCTTGCCCAACTGGTTCAGAGAGGAAAAAAACAAGTCAGCCTTGAAACAGCCAGCCTAGCTAGAAACTCAGAGGCTTTGGAACAATATAATAAAACCAGCATGAAATATGTGTGTTTGCTACATAGATATTATCACAGTGGAAAGCAGCAAAGGAGCAATTTAAACGTCTAACACATAAGGCAGAAGGTTTTTTGTAATTAAAGCGAACAATGATTTCTGAACAGGTGCGCGTAAGGAGGAATCCCACAAAAATCCCCCTGGCACACTTTTTTTTCCTTATTAATATTGGTCTGACATCATGTATCGCTGTTTGCAGTCCACCTGTCCACTCCTTTGAACACCACATTTCCTGCTTTGGAGTCACGATGATTAGCAAGTAAGAACAAGCAGCCTACAAGTGAGTTTTTACCTTTTTGTTCTTTACATCCACGAGCTGCCAAACCAACTGCACGAGCTCCTTCTCGTCAGACCCCAGGAGATCTCCGCTCGCGCCAGATGTGGCGGTGAAAACCACCACCAGGTAGTCTACCTGCGCCGTCATCTGAATTTTTAAAAAAAGAACCGCAAACACACAGAAAACTAATCTAATACTAAACGAGACTAAAAGGGACTGAAGATCAGCGGGATGTGAGACGCGAGCGGGACGCGGGAGGTAGAAACGCCTTTACTCTGACACCTGAGCGCAAAGGTGAGCCCGTAAATCCAAAGTTTTGTCGCCTGTGAGATTTTATGTGAAGCCTCCCGCAGTCACCATCGCGAAGCAATGGCTGAACGCTCACCGCTTTTGTAGGGAAGCTACCTGTGCGACCACGTGACCCCTTTACCTGGCCCGTCCCTCTTTCAAGTGGTTCAAAGTTTAGTACGTGGCAGCTCACGCGGGACAGAAAAGGTAATAAATGGTTATTAGTATAAAACAACAACGAGAAAAAACAAATAATAAATAATAATAATAATAACAATAATAATAACAAATTTGAAGTATATACACTTTAGTTACTATGTAGTCAATTATTAAAATATTTCATAAATAGTAAATGTCTTTATAACAATTCAATAATTCGAATTGTAGTCTTTTTTTTAAATAAAAAAATATTTTGTCTTTTAAGGGAATTGACAACAACAACAATAATAATAATAATAATAATAATAATAATAATAATAATAATAATGAGAAGAAGAAGAAGAAGAAGAGAAAATGAGTGTGAGAAAAAAAATCTAATTTTTTGCTGAACTACAGAAAGAAAAATCCGTGAAATCAGTTTAAAAAATACTACTACAGACCAAGTGGAGCTATCATGTTATTAAATCATAAAGTTATTAAATTCTGATTTTCTGATATGATTAACTGATTTAAACTTTTTTAAATACAAAATAAAATGTCTTACAAAAGAAAGAAATATCCCTCAGAACACTTTTCAACTTTTTTCTCTCCTAAATCTAAATCGAAGCAAATATGAATTTTCCAACTAAATTTCTCATACCAACAACAACTATTACTACTACTACTACTACTAATAATAATAATAATAATAATAATTTATTTATTTTGTTTTGTTTTTGTAGGGGGGGTGCTTGCTCCGGAAGTATTGACTTTAATCCGGAAGTTTACCCCTGGCCCGGCCGATAGCAGTGGAGCGATGGCGGGGGACCCTTCAACGGAGCTTCTTTTTCTGGATACGTTTAAGCATCAGAGTGCAGAGGTAGTGTTGTTTAACACTTAAACACACGCTTTTATGTTTACTCCATGACCACCTGCATTAAAAGTTAGTTTCAAGCGCGTTCAGGAGTTTTGAGGAAGGATGCTTAACTTCCAGGCTAACGCCGTTAGCTAACCTTAGCAGCTATGTGATGTCATTATCCTGGTTTTAAGCAGCGATTACTGCACAGCTGCCCGTTTATACATAACGCGTTTGTTTGATGTGAATGTAATCCTTATACATTAGTAGCTCAAAGAGTTGCCGTCTTTTGTGTCTTTGCACAGTTTGATTGGTGGTTAGCCAGGTGGCTAATGCTAACTTTAAAGTGTCAGGGAGCATGTTTACCTCGAAGCGGGAGTAAAAGTGACTAATGCGGAAGGCGTAGGTTATAAATGAAACATTTCATCATTGTTTGTATCAGCAATCATGTCTCCTTTGTTTCAGTTAACCAACATAGACGTGGTGCGGTTTCCTTGCGGGGTGCTGATCACAGAGGTGCGGGTCATTCCTCCAGGGATCAAAGCTCATAGTAACCTACCTGACAGCAGAGCGTTTGGGTAAGATTCACCATCCCTGCTTGAAAACACACTCATGCATCTTACTGGCTACACCCAGTCAGGCCAAACGAATTCTAATAGCGTTGCCAGCATGTATATTGTTGTCTTTTTACTAATTTTGAGACTGTACCTTTAAAAGGCAAACACCATTTCAGTGTGGCTACCGTCCTCTTCAATGTAGTCTTCTACTAAAGCAAAACCACAACCTGAGCTTTACATGACTCAGTGGACCATTTTACCTCAGAATTGTGCAGAGAAACCTTTAACTTCTGCATAGAACTGATAAGGTTTCATTTCAGAACACAGATTGCCTCAGATGAATCCATTGATTTGTGCATGATAGTGAGAAAGTGCTTAAAGTCATAGGCTAAAGCACTTTGAGTCATGAGCCAAGTCTGATTCAGACTTCTATGGGGAATCTTTGTAAAGTTTACAACACTCTACATAAATGGCTGATGTCAATGCTGGCATTGACGCTTGCGCTGGTGCATTACATATTAATTACCTTGTAGTGATGTCCCGGTGTTTTATATGTGTTGCCAGCTGATAGAAACAAATGAAATGATGTGACTTTGTTTTGTTTTTTAAAGCCTTTTGTGGGACCTTTTGTCCCTGTAGTTGTTCCACTTCTTTATACCTTCCCTTAAGTCCATTCAGATAGTTTTGGTAATCTCCCTCCAGGAATTTGCTGACATTTTTGAGTCTTTATATCTATGGTTATTTTTTCTCATGCTGAAGTGACAATTGTTATTCTGTCACCAATAAATTCAAAAACTGTCAGGTCATGGCGTATGTTTTCAGCTGAAGCATAAATTCCTGTTTAGGATAGAAAAGTGCCATTTATTGCCCGTTATAGCAATGTGGCCCGAAAGTTGATTGATATCATTTGTACTTGCCACAAACACAACAGTGTTCTGGCTACCTTTAGCACAAAAATATCTGAACCTCGTTGTTGGATCACAGCGTTGGTTTGTTTGCATTTCCATCGTTGCTGAGTTTTAAAAATGGCATGTTTGAGTCTTTTGAAGGCGTCTGACTCATCCAGTGATATCATTCTCTGGCCAATCAATGACATGCAGTCTGTTAGTGTCAGATTTTTAGCTCGACTCAAGTCGTTTGGTACCCTGGCCAAGTACTAAAATGCACCTGGTACTACCACTTAATGGAAACCCCTGAAAACTGGGTAAAGTCAAGTAGGTGCTAGTGGAAAAGAGGCAATACTCAATGGTGTCATCTTTGTCCCAATACTAGAAATCAGAATTATATAAGAAAAGCGAACGTTGAATTGGTTTTGAGTTGCAAAAAACCTTCGGTGTTATTGCTATATTGCCTTTAGAGATGTCTTGGGGTCGCTGTTTTTTTTGTTTGGTTTTTTGCTATGGATACCTGAGATAAATGTGTGTGTCTGGGGGAAATGGAGAAGCTTCTGTGAATAAAGAAGTGTGTGCATTTGACACCTGAGCTCCATTGTTGAACAGGTCTCAATTTCCCCCAAACCTGCTGAGTGATGTAATTTAGCTCAATGAACAGACTCAAGAATGCACAGTCCTCTAGCATTGGTATGCATTGTGGTAGTATTGATATTATGATAAAGTGCATTTATTTTCTGGAAATCCATGAAACTCATGATGTATAAGTAACATCTGGTTCAAAGTTCTGCCATAAAAGCTACTTTTATCATAGCTACTATGATCCGTTTTTTGTTGAATTAAAGGCATTAAATTCTATTTGTGTACCTACAAATGTAGCTACAACTGAGTGTTTAATATCAAATCGCACATCGTATCGTTGATGGGTCACTCAGAGTTATAAGGTCCTCTGGATACTCGAGTCCTGATTCTTTTTTTTTTTGTTTCCAGAGAGACTTCTCCTCATGCCTTCCAGTTGGAGCTGTTCTTCAATAATGTTACCAAACCCAACAGCCCCACCTTCCACAGACTGGGCAGGTGAGAATTATTTTCACTCTCCCCTCTCCTGTTTTGTTTTTTAAACCGTTTCTCGTTCTCTACCTCTCCATTTCCTGGCTCAATCTCAAAAAGTCTGTCTCACCTGTAGAACCAGTCACGGTAGCATCTGAGACCTGTTCTCACGCACGCTCCCATATTCAGGTGTCTTTGTTCTTATGCTTGGTCAACTGGTCTCTCCAGAAACCGTGCCCACACTGCAGCAGAAAAAATGTCAAGGTCTCAGTGAAATAGGTGATTGGTGGAATGTTTGAGTCAAGTATTTTTGTTCTAACCTCATAATGACACAGGTGTATGCAGTAGCACCAGAGCGTAAGCCTGTACTTAAAGGTGGCCATTGTGTCAGCGTTATTAAAAAAGAACAAAAAAACTGTGCAAACATAACACACCCGACTTATTATCCCTACTGGGAAGTTTGGGAGGAGATTTTTCAAACCAGTGTGATTGCTTTCATAGTATCTTACAAATTTTTAATAGATGTGAATGTAATATTTATGAACAACATTTCTTAGATAAGAAATCAATCTAACATGAAGCCTGATTAAGACCTGTTTGACTTGTAAAACCCTCAAACTACTGTATCTGCTTGGAATAACTACCATATATGTCAGTATGTTGTGACCAGTTGAACCAGATAATTATAATTTTAGAAGAGGTCATCATGTCATGTGACCTGTCACATAAAAAGGTAAATGCCTTTTATTAGAAGTAGTAAGCAAGTAAGGGCAGAGTGCGATATAGAGCATGGTGCGGGTGTATGTGTGTTTTAGACATAGCTACACAGCAATTATATGCTAGTTTAAACTCACGTGCTGAAAATAAACACAGAGACTCATGAGGAACAAACATATGTTAGTTTAGCACTGGTTCATATCAGCACTCTCGCTTTAACCTGCTCTGTCTTGCTTTCTGCCCTCAGTTTGGAATATGATGAAAACAAGTCCATTGTGTTCAGACCCAGCGGAAAGGTAAATGGTCATTCATGGACGAGTAGGTTTTTTCATTCTTCTTCCCACCCTGCTGATTCGTGGATAATTAAATGGATTTGTTCATGCAGGTGAATACAGATGGCCTAGTGTTGCGTGGCTGGTACACAACTCTGACTGTTGCGGTGTACGGGACAGCGGAGCGGCCGCATGGACACGACCAAGACTCACCTCCTCCCCCTCCACCACCACCCCCTCAACAGCCCAGCGGGCTCAAGAGGATCCTTAAACAAGGTGATTTAAAACTGACCGTCACGAGAAATACATTCATTCATTGGGCAGAAACCTCCCCAAGACTAGGAAAAAAATAGTGATTGCAAACCTGTAAATCTCTTCTTCTCCCACATTTTCCTACTTTAAATTGTGCTTTTAAGAGTGGGAAAAAGATGACCAGTACAATGGCAGCCCACCAAGACCAGCACCCAGAGGGCCTCGCACCCCACCTGGTCCTCCACCCCCGGATGATGATGATGAGGAGCAGGTTCAAATGACGGGTATGAACTATAATATATCTCACTATTTCAGCCACTTTTAAAAAACGT